ATATTTTTCTCATTTCACTTCACCAACTTAGATTATTGTGTTCTGATCCATCACATAAAATTCAGATTAACAAAACATTGAACTTAAGGCTGTAATGTAACAATATAGCTAAAAAGTCAAGGAGGGTGAAGACTTTTGCAAGGCACTGTATATCATGCAGATATATGTCAGAAGATCTGGCATTTTCATTCTCAGTAATGAAGACTTGGAGACACTGTAGGTACTGTAACTGCATTATCTAATAAAAGTGGCTGAAGTATATGGAGTCACCTAGCGCCATCCTATCATTTAATGTTGAACCATTTGTAACGTTATAATGCTATACAAGAGTTCTCAGCAACTCATTCACCCCTAGCCTAGGGAAACATTAGCCTGAGGTGCAGTGAGTGGCTTTGATTGGCTGAGGGTATCAGTTGGCGGTTTTCAGTCTCTCACAGTGCTCATTCAGGTATGAAACAGTACGACTTGAAGGACTACCGTATTTTTCCATGTATAAGACTGTTTTTTCTAAAAAGTTTTAGTCAAAAATTGGGGGTCGTCTTATACAAGGAATGTCAGTGTAGGGGGCTTAAGTTAAGATGGTGCCTGCTGCGTTTCAGTGTGCCACGGCTCACACACATACCTGGCCTCCCTCCAGCCGATCCACTTCTGAATGCTGTGGCAAGGAGAAAGAGGTCCCTATATGCATGGGAGCTTCAGCAGACATCAGCACTTACCACCATGCTACACCATAAAAGGAGCAGCCATATTAAGGTATGCTCCACCTCAGGTAGGTCTTGCTTTCTGATTTATATTTATAGGGTGAGAAAATGGGGATTAGGGAGCAGAGGGAATACTACAGTGATGCCCCAACATGCGCTCTCACCACCTAAATATATACATAAATAGGGGGCTGCTGGGAGCCAATTAATACAATTTATTATATTAATTGGCTCCCAGCAGCACCCTATTTATGCATATTCAGGTGAGTGCAGCCAGCCCCCTGTTTTCATATATATATTTGAGAGTCTAGCCAACTCCTTGGCGTTGCACCCCTCCCTGTCACAGATGCCTCATCCCAAGGCCCTATTTAGCCTAGTACTGCAGAGAACTCTAGGTGGAATTTTCCCCCCAAGTAAGTAGCTCATTAAGCAGACACTAAGCTGGCAGTGTAGGACCTGCCAAAGATGGTGTACATTGACGTTGTGGCAGGCTTATGCAATGTATGATCATATAATGTAACTAAACCACCATTATTTTTTGCCTGGTTTAGGTTTTTGGGTTTTTTTTAAACTTAAAAAACTAACTAAATCTGTCAGCACTGAAGTTGCTATTTAGGGGATAATGGAGTGCGCTATATTTTCTTTTATTATTACACAAATATATACTGGCACACATATTGTCACGACAGTGACCCCTACAGGCAGAGTATAATTAGAAAGTGACGTATACCGGACCTTAAATAATCTCAAGAGCACTAAAGGGAACTATCAAGAACCACAATAGGGCACTGAAAAATTATGCTGACGTCGGCGCGCATGTGCCGCGTCATAAGAAGAGGTATATCTGGAGCGGCCGGAGTCCAAGAGACTGTGCCGCCTCCCGGAAGCAAGAAGAGAGGAAGCCGCGCTGCGCGGGTCCGGAGAGAAAAGGTAAGGTATCGTTACACATATTGACACACATTCAGACATACTGACACACATACAGACATACACACACTCGCATACATACTGAAACACATTGACACATACACTGAAAGATATACTGACACGAAGACATATACTAACAGAAATACTGAAACGCACACAGACACACACTGACAGACGTATTGACACACACACACACACACATACTGACACATACCGACATACACTGACAGACATACTGACACACACACACACACTGACAGACATACTGACACACACAGACAGACATTCTGACACACAAACTGACAGACAGTCATATTGACACACACACACAGTATGTCTGTGTGTGTGTCAGTATGTCTGTGTGTGTGTCGGTATGTCTGTCTGTGTGTGTCAGTATGTGTGTGTGTGTGTGTGTGTGTCAGTATGTCTGACACACACACAGACAGACATACTGACACACACACAGACATACATACTGACACAGACATACAGACACACACACAGACATACTGTGTGTGTGTGTCAAATACAGGCATACACACACAAATACAGGCATACTGACATACTGACACACACAGACATACTGACACACACACACACACAGACATACAGATACATACACAGAGACATACTGACACACATGCTACATTTAGCCACCCTACAGGTTCTTACCTTTGTCTGGAGGGTGGTTTCCCTGGGGTCCAGTGACAGGCTAAGGCAGTTGGGAGTTATCTTCTGTAACTCCAGGCCTAGCCCCCTCCTCTCTGCCTTCCTCCTCTTGTATGGCTCTGATCTCGGTAGGAAGAAGTGATGCGCGGCACTCACTTCCTCCCAGCCGGCTGCCGAACAGGAAGGGGCCGGTCGCACTGTTTAAGCGCCACAGCGCCCGACCTAGCCCCTGCTGACACATACCCACTGGGTGGTCCTTTGTGCATGGGCCACCCTGGGGGGCCTCCTTAGTGTGCGGGCCGGTGTGGCTCTGTGCAGCCGCACCGCTTGGTCCATGGGGGCTGCGCAAATCGCGGGGACGACGGGGCATCTGCCACGATTGCCCCGCATTATAGATGGCCCCCGCCTCCAGTGAAGGTGGCTATGGGAAGTTATGGACCCTCATTCAGTGTTAAACATCTCAAAAAAGTTTTAACATTGAATAGGGACTCCAGGAAATATAACCAATTCAATAAGATGGTATGATTACATTGCCTACAGCAAATATAAATATCCAGGCACAACTGACGTTTCTTCTAAAAGGCAGTCTTTTTATTTGGAACAAGAAAGTGGAGACTCTTCTCTGAGCCCCTATCAAGTCTGACTAAAGCAGTGTAAACGTCCATATAAATACCATCCCAAATAACAATTAAGAGTAAATTGATAAAGTGAATACATATGTGACAATGAGCTGCAAAACACTAACCTAGTATTATAACATTTAGAGGAAATTAAAATTAAAAAATTAAACCACATAGAAATTGGATCATGGAAATACTGTGCAAATTAAAAAAAAAATAAAACAAGCACATCATTCAACTATCAAGAAAATAAAAGGGCCATAAAAGACTAAATTCTTAGACTATTAAAGTGATAAAAGTGCTGGAAAAAAAAGTGCATGTGTTGCAAAAAGTTTTCATGTCCCCCGTGCAGCCAGAAATTCTAATTATAAAAAGTGCCAGTACAGTTAAGTGAGGAGTTCAGTTCATGCAGTGTCAATCTATTAGATCCCATGGCTTTATGCGAAAAATAATAATGGAGAAACAAATTAGTAAAAATTGATTTGCTAAAAAGAAGGGACTTATCAAAAATGTACAAGGTTGGCTCATAAAGGACTTTGGGTTGAATCATAGAGATAGGATCATGTAAATATTCTGCAATAATAGTAATAAAACTAATATAACAACAGTGTCAAGTATTAGATTAAAGACGTTATATATTAAAGTGCTAAAGAATACAGTGTCTATGTTGCAACAAGTTTTCATGCACAGCACCACTGTGCAGGTAGAAATTCAAAACAATTAAAGTGCCTGTACAGCCAAGTGGGGAGTCCAATTCATGCAGTGTCAATCTGTTAGATCTCATAGCAAAAGAGAAGAGACTTATTAAAGAAGTACAAAATCAATAAATAGCCACAAGGAGTGACTTTCACTTACTTACATTGAAAAAAAGTCTAGAAATGTATAAAGTGCATGCAAACCATTCCATCCTATACATATAGTTAATCCACATTTAAAAATAATAAAAACAATCAAGATAAAAAAAAAAAAAAACATACAGCAACAAATCACATTAAATCTGACAAATCATATTCCTGATTAAGGCCTTTTGGGGACAGTGCATCCAATTCCCTAATCAAAAAGGCTCCTGCAATTTCAACCTCTTTACTTTGTCTCCCCCCCTCCTAGTTTCAGGTATATGTTATTATTTTGAATTGTAGTAAGGAGCAGAAATAGTTGTCTAAACGACCCGTACTATGGTGGACTTATGTTTGGAGAATCTGTCTTGCATTTACTGGTTGGTTTCACCCACGTAAATTAATCCACATGGGCACTTCAGTAGATAAACTACTCTCTTGTCTGCTTCTCTCCAAGTCAATGGTGCTACTATCCGCTCTAGCTCGCGGGCTAGGTGTTCTCGTTGACTCTGACCTCTCCTTCATCCCTCATGTCCAATCAATCACCAAATCCTGCCGCTTCCATTTCAAAAACATAGCAGCATCTGACCCAATTTAACACCTGATACGGCTAATGTTCTTGTCCATGCCACTCTTAGAAAACCATTAAATTAATTATCTATTTTTTCTGACACAAGCTGCATAAATTATTCTCTTTTGATGCCTGTAGAGCAAAGGATTTTTATGCTGTATCTCAATAAATGTTTGTACTTTCGCATTTCTTGTGTCCCACCCAGGCCGGGACTCGCCATCGGGCACACAGGCTAATGCCACGATGGCCATGGGCCGAGGTTGGCAGGGACCTCCCCAGCCGGTCCATGCAGGGCCAGCGCTATCCGAGCACAGGCCCTGCAGTATTCCATGA